AACGTGAGGGTGAATTTTTGCGCAACCAAATCGATACTGACCGAAAGCTGGACTTAACCAACGTGGCAAATGAGAGGATCGGTTCTTTGCATAACGGCAAAGTCTCACCCAGACCCCAAGGGCAATTGCAAGAAAAGGAAACCAAAACGGAAGCATTGGCTCGACATCTTGCCAAGGCTATCCAAGACCGAAAAATTCTGCAAGAAAACGTTCAAGAGCTCGAATGCCTTGTTGAGGAATATAATTCAGATATTAAGAGGTTACATAAACTCATTGAGGACAAGAGCTCAGGTGAGATCGACGCTCAGGTCCTGAATGCTACGTTACACGCAAAGGAGCTAGAAGTGGCTCTGTGTGAAGATGAAATTAAGCGGCTCAACGGCATTGTCGAGCGACATATGGCACGGCTAGAAACGCGCGAAATTGGTTCGATATCAAAGCTACCAAATGGCAATGTGTGGAAGCAGGTCACAGAGCTCAATACGATAGTTACAGAAGTAGATACAGCCAGAGCTGCGCAGCGCGAAGCGGAGGATCGCGCTGATCAGCTAGCCAATGAACTAGAAGTGGCTGTTGAAAGGATACATACCCTTGATAAAAGATTAGTGGATATGAAACATGCTACATCGGTGCATCAGCTTCAGGCTATGCACGGCCGCTTAAGACTCGAAAGTGAAAACAACAAGGTACTAAACTGCAATGGGTCAGAGGGCAGCATGTTTCCCCTTCCAACTAGTGACGAAACGAAGCAGTGGCCTCTGGCAGCTCGTAGTGTCTTGAATCGTCTTGTTTCACATTCGGAAGGACTTGTTATGAAAAATTCTGAGAACTCACGTCATTCATCTTTTCAAATTCAAAAACTGGAGTGCTCTTGTGAGAAGCTTGAACATAAACTCAAAATGAAAACCGAGGAGTTGCGCCAATTACAAGACGAGTGTCTTTCTTTGCGCAAAGAGAAGGAAATTCAACGCTTGTATGGTGCTCAGTGGTATGAAAAGCTGCAGGAAGTGAGAGAAGAGGCGCAGCTGGTATCCGAGCTTGTGCGCATCTCCAAAGGTAACGCCGAAGAAACAGCTCTTTCTTGCATGACAGCGGAGATTCAACAGGATGCATTTACCAAGGCCAATGCCCATGGGACCGTGATCATATCACAGGCTAACCAAGCGACGTTAAGCAAGTGCAAAGGATTCGCACAGCAGGTTCTTCAAGACATGCATGCAGTGTCGCAGTTCCTGTTGGCTCTGCGTGACATGGATATTTGCGAAACGAACGGCTACAAGATCCTTCAGAGCCTCGCTGATGGGAGTGTTCCGCCTGAGAGTCTATTCCTTGATGCAAAGACAGTACCTACCATACACAACACTTTGGAAATAGAAAAAAGGAATACGGTGTCTTGTATTAAGGAGAATAAAGACCTTGTGGTACGGGCTGTCGAGCGCGCGCTCGAAAAGGGCTTCCAAATAGCGTCGGATCCTAAGGATTCAAAAACGCATACTACTGGTTTTACAGAGGAATCAGGAAAATCAAGCGAGGAAGTTTCACAAAATCATGCCCCACATAACTATCGTGGGAGCACAGAAGCTTTTTCTATCGACAAGGTAATCTTTCGCAATCACAACGACAGTGAATATGACGACGAGATCGTAGAAGCGGATAAGTTTGAAGAAACAGATAGATCTAGATTGAGTAAAAAACCAACAAGATATAATTCAGAACTGGAGGCAGAAACATCAGGTCATACAGTGTCATGGCCCAGTAATGAAATTTGGGCTGATGTTGATCTGAAGAAAGTCTCCCAATCTGCATCCTATGGGTCACAAATGCCGACGACAGGATTGCCACTTCTCCCACATAATGGTGACGTTGATTTATCCAGTTCATACTACAAACAGAGGTCTTTGCCATACACATCTCGCGGAGAAGTCGAAGAAAATCCCGACATCTGCTCCATGTCACGGCCACCGCGCTTCTCATCAAATTCAGTCTGGAAGTTCAACTACGCTGGTGACTCAAGGCGTTCGGTGAACATCTCTGATTCTACAGTGTTGTTCCCCTCAGAGCACGCACGTCGTTTTTTGGATAAATGCGAGAATCGCACTAGAGAGAAACCCCTTGACTCGGGTAGCAGTGCCTGTGCTGGCTCGACACTGTCACTTTCAACATCACGACGATTGAGCCAGACCAATGAATCATTGTCAACCCGAGTGATTCCTTTACATGAAGCATGTAAACCGGGGGAAGACATTCTAGACGAAAATTATGGCTTTTCGAATGGCGTGGCGGCACCCACACGGCTGGAACATGCTTCATCGGTTTCGGAGCAAAGAATACCTGAGGTGGCTGTCACTTTTATCCAACAAAATGCGAGCGCTAACGCTTCTACACCCTCAACATTTGTCAATGGTTTTCAACAGGATGTAATGGCATTCGGTGAACAAAATGTTAAATCAGAAAATGCTGAACACGTTGATAATGACGCAAAGTCTTCAATTATACCCAAGACCCCAAAATCCAGAGATATGGTCGGGATAATTACAAATGAAGAGTCACCGATACTTGAAGGAATGGTTGATACGTCTCCCACTATTGATCACTTCAAATCCAAGCTTAAAACACTCCATACGCAGGATTATTCCACACCAACAAGGCAGACTGACGAAATGAATTCTACTGACTCACCAGCTATAAAATTTCACGATCTTGGAACAGGCCCTGACAGAGCTAGGATTAGCCCATGTACATTGAAGGACGAGCTAGAACAAGACACACTAACCACTCTTCCGCAAGAGGCTGTCTTTTTGCCATCCCACAAGGCAAATTCCAGTGACATTCTCTTAACAAGTATTTTTCCTATTCCTCATAACAACGATGAAAATGGGTTATACAACGCGACACAACTTCTCCAGCCCAAAGAACGCAGTGCCACGATGCCGCCGCACTCACAGAGTGATAAAGCGGGTGACCAATACACCCACGTACAATATCCGACGGGTGTGCACGAGGCAGTATCACGCACTATTGAAGACGCCGCGGAGGAAGCAGGAGAGGTGGTGTTAAGCGCACTTTCTATCGGCAGTGTATTGAACAAGCTTGAGCCTGGTAAAATGATGTCCGTGCCTAGAGCGCATGATCATAACGAATCGACATTAGAAATTTCAGCTCCTTTCGCAGCATCTACGACGCATCACCTCAATACTTCTGCTTTCTCAGCCACTTTATCTAGGGAACTTGACATCAACTCGCAGGGGTCTCGACAAATCTCAAACAACGAAAAGCAGTCACAATCCTCAAGACCGAAGACTCAAAGTAACGACGACGATAATGATAGCATGCCTTCATTGGGTTTCTTTAACAGTACCATTAACATGAAGGAATCACAGCCTGGACAAATGACTGTACAACTTTTAGGACTTAAACATCTAGAAAATGTTGCATTTGTAAAGGAGAAGTTTATAAACGAAGACGACTCACTGCAGTCGACGATGCTGTTATCTGAATCCGAAAAGTATAGAGTGTTACCTCCAGAGGCACACCCTAGTGCCCTTGATTCGACTTCTTCGATTTCGGAAAACAACAAATGCGTAGGGAAGGACACAATTGAGACGTTGCAGCGACAGCAGTCAAACCACGAGTTTGGAAAACCACCCGCCACGGGGAGTTACAGCGGTTGTCAGGACAAAGGAACAAAACTTACTCGTCAAGTCCCTGTATCGAGTGGGATGGAAAGACCCACGCTGCCACGACTCCAAAGTTCTCTCTTTTCTGGGGAATCTCTATCTGGACTGAATAGCACCCAAGTTCTTTCCCCCAACCCTGTAGCTGCTATTAACACAGAAAAATCGACACTACCACGTCGTGCGACCCCCGCCATGCCCGAGCCTCAGTCCTCGACAAGGCTCCTCGGTGAGTCCTCTGCTTTCGTACGGTTATCGCCATCGTCAGAGGAGAAGGTTAAAGTCATCCGGCAACACCGGCAGGACGCCTCACGGGAAAGAGTGGTGCCTGACGAGGATGGAAACAACGGCCCCGATGGGGCTGCGCACAAAGACGAGATTCGTCCTGACGGGAGGCTGCTGAGGGGTCAATTACCACAACCACAGGCCCTTTCTGAAGCTTTGGTGATCTCAACCCCTGGCGGAGTTGATGTAAAAGAAGAGATCAATGGCCACGGTGTTCCTGGGATAATATTAACCGATAAGCAAACAAAAAGTGGAGGGGCAATTAATATCAGAAGACCTCCTAGACCTGTGAAGCAGTCAAACCAAATCGCCCTACCCCCATCTTTGCTCCTCAGTAAAACGGTGCAGGATGATCCAAAGGAGGTGTACAGTAAGGAAAAAGACGTGGCAGCCCTAACAGTGATACAAACCACCGACACCAATGCTGCATCATCGAAACCAGTAATAGGTGGGCAGCAAGAAATGAGCTTGAAGTGTAAAAAAAACGTGAAATCTAATGGTGATAGCCAGGTTTCCACCACAGTTTCTGACACTGAGCGTCGTGAAGCTGTGTCGCGTATTCTGGAAAGAATTAAAAAAAGGAAGGCAGAGTCTAGTCGAATGTCGCAAAACGTGGCTTGACCATAAGTGGGCAGTGGGTGGGGAGTGCTAACGAGGATATGCATAAATAACAAGTCCCGGGAACGTGATGGAGGGATAAAAATCTGGAGGTTCCTCACCTTTCTTCTTTTTCTTTTTAATGAAAAGACATTTTATTGGTATTTCAGTTTTTTATGTGACGTTTTATACTATCATAATATATATAGAAATACACTTTTTTTACAGTTTTACTATCATTAACTATTTTTTTGTGTGTGTGATATCTCTTATTCCTTTTACCAAGTTCATTACATTGTCGTCAACATAAATAGAAGTGGATTTTCTCAATAGAGGCGGTGCTTCATCAATTTATCAATCTTTTTTTTGCTTTTATTCATGAATATACGAAATGGAAAAGTATTTGGACATATAGACCCTTGTGCTTTTATGTGGTTTTCAAACCCTCTGAAAAAAAAATTTTTGTATGGAACTTTCTGAAGAGATTTATGTGTTAGATAATTTAGAACCAAAGACAAGGTGTAAGTGACAACTTGGTATAGAAAACTAAAATCTGTTTTTACACAACATGGATTATTGAAAATTAATGCATCTCGCCAAACACATTATAAGATCTGCTAATCTTTTCACCACCCCTTACGAGATAAAAAAAATGACAAGGAAACTGTCTGCTCCATTAAGAAACTGAGGGCTTTCAACAAGATAAGGTTAATATATTTAGAAAAAAGGATAAATAAATACCGATAACCAAAAATTAGAAATATTGACAATCTTTAACCCAAAAGTTGTGGAATGAGTGTGACCACTTCTGACGAGGATTATGCTGAATTACCACATCATGGTGATCCTTCTCCAGTTGAAGACTTCATCCCTGAGGCTTCATTCGGTGTGGCCAGTATTGGAAAGGCTTCGAGCTTAGAGGATGCAGCCAAATCTAGCTTTTCTTATTCTTCACGGTCGATGGACTCATCTGCTCGTATAGAGAGTCTGAAGACATACAATGTGATGGAAAAGAAAAGTGCTGTTCCGCAAGAACAACACTATAAATCTTCTTTACGTTCCATGAGTAACCTTCCACACCAGCAATCCTTGAAAGAGTCCTACATCAGTGCTTCATCCCTTCCAACACATGAGGATCTTTACGAAAGGCGACGGCATCGACTTTCTAATCATCAATGCAATCTTCTCATAAAGGCTACACATGACAGCAAGGAATCAAATCAAAAGCATGTTTTCTCACACACACAAGATTCGCAGTGTGGCCAAAAGACTAAAGAAAACACTGCGGCTGTTAGAAATCAGACCACACTAGAAACAAATCCCGCTGAAAACACAGAATTCTTGGAAATAGGGGAAGATGCACTTTTAAAGCGAATGAGGAGAAAAGAAAAGGAGTTTGATACAAAGATTAAGGAAATTAATCAGACCTTTTCTAGCGCAGGGCGCCAGCTAGTTTTACGAGATGACCTTATAGAAGAGCTCCATCGTGAAATTTTAGAGCTTCGCGGGCAACTAGACGACCGCAATGTAGACAAACAACAATCTAGAGAAGGTGAAAGGCGTTTGATGGAGAGCATCCAAAACAACACACATAAGCTTCAGATGGCGCAGTCGCACTCCAAGCTCGAGAAGGAGCGTCTTCACACTGAATTAGATGAGTACAAGTCTCGTTGTGCTGTGCAGCAAGCACAGATTGAACAACTTCGTGAAGAGCTCGATGAAAGCCATAGGGCAGCTCGCGAGTCTAAACAACATCACACCAGGGAAATTGATAAACTCCGTAAGCATTTTCACAAGCAGCTATCTGAGATTAGTGCACAATATAACAAGATGGATCGAGAGCATGCATATTTGCAGGAAAATGTCCAACAGGCAGAAAAAACCCAAAGACATGCACAAGCAAAGGTGCTGCAGGCACAGTTCGAGCTTCGACAACAAAGAGACCAAGGGGGGGAGACGGTGAAATCACTGCTACAGGAGAGGGATATATTGCAGGAAAAAGCAGATGTGGCTCACCTGAGCATAGCACGCCTCCTAAGCGTATTGAGTTGCGTGCCAGATATGCAGAACTACTTGACGTGGAACGAAATTAACAGCGAGTTTGTTTTTCTTGCCTATCCCATACGATACTTCCCCGTGAACAATAAGAATCTTCGACAAACAATGAGAGACACCGCGCTAGAAAATAACCGAATTCATCGTCGACACGATGCCGTCGATAAAGGCGACGATGATTATGTAAGGGGCTATGATGTGAATACTGGACAACCCTTGAATATTGAAACCAACCCTCAGACGGGCATTGAGGATGGTATCTACGCTGGGAGTACTTCTTTTCAGAAAACCAAAAACATTTGGCTAAACGGCCAGTGGATCAAAAAACTTCAGGAGATCATTGATTCAGAAAATATCTTTACAAGACTTAAAAGAATTAAACTCATGGAAATGGAAGAGGCGGCCAAGCTGTGCAATCAGCTTCCAACGGCCCAGGATGTTTTGCAATGCCGACGACAAGAAAGAGACTATTGGGTACCATACGAAGTATTTATTGAAGCTCAGCAATTCAAAAACAAGTACTGTCCTCGTGTTCCCGCACTTTCCCATTTTTATCCGTTTTTGATGAAGCTAAACACAATTTGGAGTCGAAAACTTCAAGAGCGGCTTCGTGTCCTTCGAAAAGAGCTGCAGGTGGCACAGCAACAGGTCGCGCTGCAACTAAAGAATAAACAACAGTCCCCGAATAGTCTGTCGACAATGCCGATATCTCAGCGTTATAGCCACAATACTTTGTACAATGATGGAACTGGTACAGGTTTATTGGTAGACACCCTAGACGAAGAAGGACGCAGCTCGCGCCTTAGGAATGGTCGCTGTCACCGCAGCAGCAGGTCCCCACGGCAAGTGCATCGCGGCACGTTTCTTTTGGGTGCCTCACGTAATTTTAACAACCTCTTCAACGAGCACAGTCGACTGCGTCGCGAAGTCCGGCTTCACATCACAAGTCAACGAAGCCTGTCCCTCTTTCGATATTATGACCAGCTTGTTAAACTTGCCATGAATAATATTCTGCATTTGGTACAACTGTGTGAGCAAAAAGGTAAAGAGGACTCGTCCAGGGGCGAGCGGCGTGCATATGTCGACAACACCTTATATGAATCCACTGATTCTGACGAGCATAGCGTGGACGACGTTCCAGCGCTTCCCACACCGCCGCGTGAACGACGGGAGCACCGCTCCAAACATGGTAAGTATGAAGAAATGGTTAACAGCCCCGGGCGTCCAGGGATGACGGAGGAGCTGGAGCCAGGAAACCGCACGGCAATCCCTGATGCAAGTAGTATCATTACTTTAAAACGGGAGGCTATGAAGAAAAAAGTAGTGATTGGGTTGCTGACCTGCACGGTGCAAGGTACCTGCAAGCGTGTTGATGATATAATGCAGACTCTCTTCACACGCACAATAGCATGCTGTGTGGACTTGGAGAAGCTAATGCGTATGGTTCAGTACAAATTCATACCCAAGTTGTATATCAAAGAGAGTAGAGGTGAGGAAGAAGCTACAGAAACGCAGCAACGGAAAATAACTGCCCACAATAGAATTGTGTCCGAATCTGATAAAAAAGCGACGGACATATTGTCTTCCAACACAAGCCTTTCGCGTTCCTCAAGCAGGTTGCGCGAGGCTCCTGAAGCGACATCAGTTCATACAGGAGCTATGCACAGTCCTGCGTCACAGGGCTTGTCAGTACAGGATATTCAACAAGACGTCTCTAGCATCCTGCGCTCTCGATACATCCAAAAGCCAGTTGCTACCTATCCAGACAAAAAGCATGGGCAACTAAATGAAGAGGGTACAAACTTACAGAACTATGAACGCGCTAGACCACAAAGTGGAGGGCCACGAGGAGTCGAGGCACTCTCTCAAGTGGTGGCGAGCGTGCTTGATTTTACTTCTGAGGTGAAAGTTGAAGTACAGAATGCGAACAACGCACTGGAAACGGTACTGAACCAAGCTATATCTGAATCTGGGGTCTATCAACATAAAGGATGAGGGAGTGTGAATGGTGAGAAACATGTGCTCGATAAAATATAGACAAGATTATATATGTCGATGTGCCTATTCTTTTATTAACCAGCTCTTTAATACATGCATCATTTCTTAAAATAGACTGTATTACACGATTTTTATAAACACTTTTTTGTCAGTTTGTTTATCTTACGTTTTTCGAGTTTATTAAAGTATTGGTATGTGTAGCTTCGATACTTTAATTTCACATATCACTGTTTTACAGGTTTCCTGAAGCATGTTTGGTATCGTTCGTTATGGTTTCCCTCCATAGATTATACTGGATTATTTCCTACTACAACCTTTACCTATTATATTCCATCTAGGATGTCCGTGTGTGTGCGCACCTTAGAACCTCATGTGACAGCAATAGTAAACCATGTTGAGTTGGTAAAAATAGATTATTTACTATAACAGTGAAGAAAATGTTCCTTTTCTCCTTAGCAAGGAGTCCTTTCATTCGTGATTTTATTTCCATTGCCTTTGATTATATTAAGGATCGATCAAAATTTAAAAAAAATCAATCTTAGATACTTTAACGAATAGACGAATTTTTGATTAAACTGTTTTCAAAATAAGCATTTTCCTACCTGTTCCCTATCCCTTAGTTACGGTTATGGGGCACGAATCTGTAACTCGTTGCTCCCCACAATGTGAGGTATCTAATAACATAACAGAACGCCTTTCTTGTATTGCCTCCTACTTTAGTGGTAGCACTTCACCATATTTACCGAGCGACCAGCAGAATGAAAATGCGTCCATATCTAGTGTACCACAATCTAGAAGGCTTCCACTTGCATGGCTAGCTGCGAGTCCATTGACTCGACTAATAGCGGAACAAATGGAAGCTGAGCGCCTTGTATTCTTTCGCTTCCTCCACGGCTCAACTAGCATTGATGCGGGTAAATCTGGTGAAGTTGGCGTTGATGGCAATGAAGAAGAAGATCCACTTCCGTTGATGTTTGCGGTATCAACCACATCACTTTCAACTATACAAGAAGCCATTTTTGATGAAAATAATAACTTTAAAAGTGAAGAAAAAAAACACGATCTACCTAGGATCGTTCCATTTTTTGATCAAATCAATTCCTCAAAGCTGGGACAAGTTCATTTATCTGATGCTTACAACAGCGTAGATGATCGCAACCTTTACGAAAAACGTAGCTCATGGGGAAAAACAAGGTGTGGTACACAAGTCGCTGGCCTCATAACGGTATTGATTTCCGCGCGAGATCTTTTGAAAAAGAGTCTAGAAAATCACAAGACTCACCTTTCTGTCAACGATGCTACGTGCTTGCAACAGATGTCTTCGCAACCGCCTCCATCATTAATGAAGGGTGGCTTTAATGATACATGGATATCGCATGAGATTCCAGGAATCCCATTACGTGAATGGATTTGCTCCAACTCTGACTCGGTTCCAGACAAAATAAAAGAGGGGAAAAATACTAATGAACAAAGTTTAAAAGGCATATCTACAAAGAGACAGAGGCATACTGATGTCATGGTAAAAAAGGGATGTAACCCTGTGGATTTGCTTTCGTCATTGCCACATGAAGAAAAGTATCTGTTTCCCATAACAGCCCTCCCAGCTGAAGTGATGTCAATACCAGAAATGGTGAATTTCAGCTATTCTATCCCTTCAGGATCAGATTTGAAAAAAAACGGACAAAATACGGTGGTGCAATTTACTCCAGCAGACGACAGGCGCGAAACCTTGAAATCTGCTGCAAGTACGCTAAATGCCTCCAGACTGGCACACTGGGCTGCGCATCTTTCGCTTGGCCACGATTTAAAGTCAACCTCTATCCATAAATGTGATGATGTGAGCGGAAATTATGATCTGATGTACCGGGTCGTTTTAGTAACGCGTCCGGATGCTGTGGAAAACGTGATGTTGGGGGTCAGTCAGTGGTGGTTGCAGCGCCCTATCTACCTTCATGAGCTTGGGTACAACTACAATTCGAAAGGAACCCCACACGAATACCCATCGGTACACAACAACAACTCAATAAGAGAGAAAAATGGAGTACTAGTGCCAATACAGCTTAAATTTGCTTCACTGGATGCCGCTAGTGTTTTTTACGTCCCATTGAAGGTATCTCTTCTGTGTCGATTCATGGTATTTGTGTGCTACGTGCATGCGTGCTTGGCTTTTTGCTTTACTCTTTGTGATAGCGTTACTACTGCTACATGGCTACCGTCTGAACAAATTTCTGAATGGTGTGGCCTAACAGCCATACCGATAGATCAGTCGAATGGTGAGGCGTACCACAACGAGTTTTCAAGTGCTGCTAACGGAAAAGCTGTTCCAATGAACTTGCTGACTTCACTGTTGTTCGCTTTGAGTATCCTTGTAGCCATTCCTTTGTTGATGTTGATCATATTCCTCACTTTGTTGCTCCGTTTTCTCAATCACTTTGCCGGGCATCTTTATCCTGGCCAACAAAGCACCCTCATGCGCATGCTCACTTGGATAAAACACATGATATTGTTTTTCAACTCCTTTGAAAAGACCGTGTGTGCGCATTGGAGGCTACAAAATCGACTGCGCGAGCGAGCCAGTGCGATGAAAATCTGCCACTGGCTCTATCGTCTTGGGTATGTCTACGCGAATCAAATGGAAACACTTGACATAAGCCATACGGGAATCTGTGGTACTCACCTGCTGGCCTTTGCCCTTGGTATCCATACTGCCACGAACGGTGATGGATCAGCTACACCTCATTGCACAAGTGCCCTGCGAGCACTGGATGCTTCTGGGTGTCTTTTTTTAGATCAGCCCTGCGATGAACACCTGTTGCAGACTGAACTTGATATGCGTCGTTACTTGGGGATTTCTTCCTCATCCACAAAAAAAGACATGGGCAGCGATGCCGCCACTGCTGACGAAATGCTGGCATACAGTGAAAATCTAAGGATGCTCTCACATGCGGGACGAGCACTCGCAAGGCTTTCCTTAGGCCACCAACCAATGGACACAGGTAGGAAGCACGGCCTGCAACTTATCAACGCGTCTGGTTCATCCCTGAATACTGAGGTATTGGACGAACTGGGACAATGTGTGCTATTGTACGAACTCGAAACAGTGCATAGACATTTTGTTTCAACAAAAATGAACGTTGCAGTCTCAGGGGTTGGTACGGGTGGTGCATCCTCTCTCACTTCACTGGCACCCTCTCCGTCTTCGTCACTCATAGCAATAAATCTCACAAGTTGCCGTAAGGTGTGCAGTGTAAACGCTCTGTCGTACATTACGAGTCTTGTTCAAATAATTGCACCCTTCACCGAGATCAATAATGCAGGAGTAGTCCACCTTGACGGGAGTGCATTTCATCAAGTATTGCAATATGTGGCCGATTCTGTTTGTCATTTAACGCATCTACGTTGCACTCGTTCTGGTACAAATCTTGAAGACAGTAAGACTGGTGTTGAACATGGGGTCTATGACGGCATAGCAACACCTCTCTTTTGTACTACAACCTCATTTGTGTCATTACTAAACTATTTTGTGGATAATTACGCGGATAAAAAGCAGGAATTCGTGTCTCGGTTTACTGAAATGAAGTTCTTCCTTGAGCATCGGTTTCAAACTCACCTGTACCACCTAGACCTTACCTTCTGTCTGAAGGTTGAAAATCTTGCGTCCTTGTGCGAAAGGCAGTACCTGTTGCACTACCTAAATGTGAGCCACACAAATGTCAGGACAACTGGCCTTGCAGAGATTGTAAGGAAGCAAGCACCGGGTCACCACGCCTCAGCACGTCGTCCCTTGCGTGTCCTGGTGGCAGAGTACTGCAACGTGCTAAACGACCTCAACGGTATTCAGATGTTTCCGCTCCTTACGAAACTCTACGTTAGAAATGGAAGCCTTGACGCCAGTGGGCTGGGTGTGTTCTCCAGCCATGCAGTGTGTTTTAACAACCTTATCTTCCTGGACCTGAGCTACTGTGAAAAGGTCGAGAACGTCTCCATGTTGGCCTCTCTCCCCTCGTTGCAGACACTCATTTTAGACAACACCGAGATATTATGCAACGGTATAAAGGGCTTGGGCAAGTGCCCTACACTACAGACGCTCTCGTTGCGTTTTTGCCCAGACTTTGCACCCGTTGGCCCCAGTAAAGAACGGCTCGAACAAATGGTCGTGCGCATTCCAACACTGCAAACCTACATTTATGAAAATCTTGCCTGTGATGAAGTGCCCCGAGAAGATGCATAATATATCAAAAATATTGTGATCCAGTTGAAGAAAGTCTGAAGTAATATGAAATATCTCATTTGAGATTATGATATGCATGCTTAAACTGTTGAATAAACTTAAACTAGGAATGACAAGATAGTACTATAAACTATTCATTGAACCTTTGTTGTCGTTGATTGTTACCACCGTGTTGCCACTGACATTGGTAAAAATAGCCAACCAATAAACCAACCAACTTAAAATCCGCATCTAAAATATAAGTGGTTGTTAAATACATTTTGACACTCTTTTGATATGTCTCTTTATTCGCTTCATTTTTCTTTTGGATTATTTAAAATTATTATTTTTTAATTTTACCGAGACATGTTCTTCATTTGGTTTGATTTTCCCTTTTAAAGTGTGTACGTGCTTTCGTATGTTTTCAATGCATCTAGCGATACTTTGTTGAAGTAGAATGATAAAACATTTCGGACAACTCAAAAATCATTTCGCGTGGACACTCTCCATTCTATTTACATAAATGCATTGTAATTATCTGAAAGGGGTGAAAAATGTTGGAATCTTCTACTTTTTTTTCCCATTAGGATATAAAAGTATAGCACTACACATACTTTCAGCAAGAATACACACACAAAAAAGGTAATGGAGCATCTTAGTGGTTTACTCCGCCGTGGAGGTGAATTCAGTGGCAATGCCGCGACCGGGGATCTTCGTGATACCGCAGAAACGGTCCAAATATCTTCCCTTGCACTGCTTAAAATGCTTCTTCACGGGCGCGCCGGTGTACCCCTAGAGGTTATGGGCCTCATGATCGGTGAAGTGGTGGATGACTACACAATCCGCGTCGCCGATGTCTTCTCAATGCCGCAGACCGCGACTGGGCAATCCGTCGAGGCGGTCGACCCCGAGTACCAGGTGCATATGCTCGACAAACTTAAACTCGTGGGAAGACATGAAAACGTTGTGGGTTGGTACCACAGCCACCCTGGATTCGGATGCTGGCTTTCCTCCGAGGACGTTGTGACGGCAGGTAGCTACGAGAATTTGACGCCGTGCAGTGTATCGGTAGTGGTAGATCCGATTCAGTCTGTTCGAGGCAAGGTGGTCATTGATGCATTCCGCACCATCCCGCGCGAGATGGCCATGATGATGATGGGCGGTGGCGCAAGCACGCGTTTCATCGAGCCACGTCAAACAACGTCTAATATTGGGTTCCTCAATAAACCCTCCATGTTAGCTCTGGCACGTGGCTTGGACAGGCAATACTATAGCCTCCCCATCACATTTCGCAAGAAAAATCACGAGTTGCGCCTACTTTTGAATGTCTATAAGAAAGGTTGGAAAGAAGGATTCAAACTGGAGAATGTCTCCCAGATGGAGAAAAAGACGCGCCAGGGTGTGCGTGACCTTATCTCGCTAGCGAAGCAGGCCGAAATGTTTATCACACAAGGTCAAGACGAAGACGATATCGGAAATGTCGGTCGTATCAACGCTATCACGCACCTCCAAATGGAGGCAACTAATATGATACAAAACAACCTTAATGAATCTATTGGTGCCATGGTTAATGCTGTCGTATTTTGAACAATAATGTACATGTAAAACATCTATAAAAGTGTTATGCCGTCAATTATTAATAGTATCATTATTACTTGAGAACGTAGTGATACCCTTGATAAATGCCTTTCAGATCAATAATGTCTAGAAGTAAGCTGATAAAAAAAAAAAGTGTTGTGAGGAGCAAGAGAACAATTGGATGAGTGTGCATTGCATAGAATGGTGAAAAAATGTCGATTCTAAATGGAACAACTCATGGAATGGCTTCTTCTAAGAGTTGTCTGACACTTATGCATGTATGTGTAGAAAAGGGCGCGTTTGCGAGAAGAAAGAAATAAGGCATTGTATTCATTTCATTCATTCAACTATTGATGGATTTATATTGTGGGGAAAAAACGTTTGGGTAATCATCCTATTTTTATTTGATGCGTAATGAGGTATATGATATCGAGCGATTCGTCTTGACAACATCTTAGTACTGTTTCCATCCCCTTTACTCTCATACTTAAAATCTAAATATTGGTAATATCAAGACAAATTGATTTATCTCGTTCAAGTTTTTTTTCCCCCATAGGTCGTATTAATAAAATAAAAAAAGAAATCCTAAAGGTATTTTTTAATTTTTTTTACCACTTTATTTTCAAATTTTTATCTATTACATTTTTATTTTTTTATTTTTCCCCTCTAATTGATAGAATCATTCCCTAACATATTTAAACCTACTTCACGGTTTAGGCTTCCTTCAAGAAAAATTGATGGGGTAGTTTGCTATACCCTCTGAAATAGTACTACGATTAAAGACAAGTTGAAAGAGGATGAAAGAGAGCAAGAAAGGGTCTTTCACATGTATATGTAAGCCGATTTGTTTTGTGCCTGATGATAAAGCGATTTCGGAGTGTCATCGAAAAGAATCTATGAAAACCGGGAGAAAGCAATCCTGCGCTACGACAAATACGATGACTTTTACTCATACTGACAAACCCTACACTACAACTCATTCTGGGCATGGTGATCGTTTTTGGCCGCGCCTGTTGCATGCATTGCCCTCTTTTGACGTAGCCAACAGTACTGTAAACGAAGGCAAAAAAAAAGTACAGGCCTTCTCCGTAAAAAATTTCACAGAGTCACCATCAGGATATAATTCAATTACTTTGATTTCTTCCCCCCGAGTGTTACATCCAGAAGACCTACCGACAGTTATTTTGGACTCGACAAACGTAAGGTCTCGACGAAAATCAGTCAGGAATACTTGTATGGCTTCAGTTACTGTTCATGATACAGTACAGGAAAAAGACTCAAGTCAAATAAGTGTATCCATAGCCTCAGGTAAGTTAAGGAGACCTGTAATCACGACCCCCTCTAGAAAACCAAGTTGTCGATCATCTTTTCAGAAGTCATCCACGATACTAAGTGAAGAGAGCCCTCTACCATGTGCTGGTTCATGTAATATCAATGAGTATACTATTCTCGTATCATGCAAATTATGCGAAACCCCTCAACAGAAAGGGTCCGTAATGGAGGCAGACTTGAGGGCGCTGGCTTCCACCAGTGCCCATTCGAACCCTGACAAGTTTCGTGTGACGTCAAAGTCCTCGATAGTCTCCCTTAATACAGTCGAGGCTGCGCCTTTCCACGCAATATCTTCACAAAGAGTGGACAAAAAGAATTGCCAGTCGTCAACCGATCACAGTTTTCTGTTGGAAAGCTCACAACAATCACACCATGATCCCTTACGCGTCGAGTACATTCCTATCGCTGACGACACCAAAAGTAGCTCCATCGACATGACCACAATATCTAACATTCACAAGAATGTTGGGGACGGCGAACGATACCACGATATTACCACGACAAGTATTACATACGACAGCATGCTAGGGAGGAGAACTGACCGCTCCTCTTCCCTGAAGACCGAGTTTCATTGTGCGTCTGGTATCGTCGAAATACTACCAGTTGGTAATTCGATCTCAGATTTAGGGTTAATCTCTACCAGTGATTCATGCAAGCGCCGGGTTTCTAAGCAAGAGGATGCGATTGAAAAGAAGGAGCTGCAACAATTTGCCGCGCGTTACTACAAGCGAATTCAGGTATCCTTGGGTTGCTGGGGGAGACCTCAGTGCAGCGCAACGGATGGGCACAGTCACGGCGGCGAAGACTCCCGGAGGGCGTCTGGGTCTACCGCACTGATCCCTAATCGACAGCTCATAACGCACCCCGCACTTCGTCTTCCTGCGTTTGTGGCAACGTCGAGTATGACACTAACGGCATCGCGAAGTCGGAGGAGCTTATGCATGTCTAAATTCTTTTGCGGGCGGTCCCCATCACCGCTCTCTTAAAAAGGAGTCGAATCTCATAGTAAACAAAAGCGATCAGTGTGCAGGCAATGCGTTGGGAACAGTAACCCCAGTCTCAGTAAGTAAATGAACAATTAGGTGGAGAACCCTAAGGAAGTCAGGAAAGGTGTCATCGCCAAGGCGTTTGATCCTAATGTTAAGTATATCACGTTGCCTCGAAGGACGTCGTAGAACTATTGTTTCAGAAACCATACTGCAAAGAAGCTGCTCTTGGCTTTATTTTCTCAAGAATAGGTAAAATTAAATACCCAAACTCATTTTGGGATGAACACGAAATTTAACAAATTGGCAAAAACTTGGAACCACTGGTTGTGGAACTATTTTGTCCATGTATATGGTAAGTAAATATCTAAATAATTTCATTGTCTATTTTTTTCTTTATTTTACAATGAAACAGGTGTAATGGGTTGGTGTAAATGACATTTTTCTTAATATTATTTATATTGTAATACAAGAAAAGAATAACTATTAATGTATTCATTTGTATATATTATTTACATCTCATACTATGTGTTTATATTCTCATTCGCTTGCATAGTTTGTACCTTTCCCAGACTCCCCATTCCAAAGGATCTTTTAACAATGTTTACATTATTTCAACTAACCTTTTACGTTTAATTAATTATTTTGACTTTATGTGTAATATTTTCATTTTACAAGGAAAAATACGGTCTTACGTTATTAGTTCCTGTGAACAGTATCGAGATGTTTATTGCTCCTTTAATTTATCTCCTCTCCACATTTTTCACCATTTTCTTTTTGCTACATTTATTTAAAGATTAGTAGCTCGAAATTCTAGTACTGTGAAGTATAAGAGAATTTTATCATTAGCTCTATCAATCTTTATATTTACTTTGTTTTATTTTTACAATGCTTTATCAATTTATTTTTAACTTTTCTTTTTAAAAATATTCAATTGACATTGTGTTTTTCCTCAGATAGGAAAAGAATTTGAATCCATTAATATCAGGTGCTTAACTGATCTGGACTAAAAATCAACGATTTTGAGGAGGGGGGGGGAAATCTGATATAAACCCTTTCCTTGGTTTCTCTACAAGATCGCTCATAATTGGTTGAATCAATATTGAGAATTCCATTATAGACATCATTACCGTTTGTCCTCCCTAGAGAGCACATACGCAAAGGAAATATCCCGCAATCAATCGAAAATGCACCATTTGGGGGAGATCACCTTGCCACATGATATATGCCATCCACCCATCATCAATACCCAGATATCACAGCCTTTGTGTGATACTGTCACGGGTGACTGCACAACCGATGCGCATTCCGAATCAAACAAGTCGCCATCCCGTCAAGAGGAAATTGCTGTCTGTCGTGCGGTGCTCCCTCCTGGGAGAAGTGGACGTCATGCTACATTCACTATTCCATCACAGGGATGCCGACACGTGGACGACGCTGCGGCGGTGAGTGATGATAGTGAAGATGAATTTGTGTATATGCTTCAAAATGCCAAAAGCACCACTCAGGCAATTGAAATGATCCGCAGGATTCAGCGCACACGTCACTTTACAGAGATCGCGTCCTCCTCTCGTGCATGTAACTCCTACTCTATGGATTCAAATGAAAAAATCAAGAGGTCAGCCTATCCCGCGTCACAATGTTCTCGTTTCGGTGAAAGTCTAAAACGAAAAGATCGAAAAGCTGTCGAGCTTCCTGAAACCATCCTTGATTTTCAGACTGCCCCAGCCTACACCGTATCGTTAACAGCTTCCCGCGACGCCGTCTTCGAGGATGCCCTCTCAGGGTTTCGTTCGTATTTAGAACTGGAGGATCGAAGAATGGAAGCATATCATTCGTATCGTCTACGTAGAAGCGCACAGGACCGAGGTCTACCAATACGCTACGAACGGACGTTTAACACCCAAAATGGCATACCGTGTGTATCAGCTGTCCCTATTTATTCCTCAGAGAGTGACAAAGTTCATACCCTGGAAAAGCCAACACAAAATCCCTTAAGTTCACTTTACTCTGAGACTTCTAGGCAAACCCAGAAATGTCACGTGACATCATCAGATTTCCTTTTAAGTACCCTTAGTGATGATCATGGACAAAAAAAGGAAGGCACACATACGGCTTCTAAAGCTACGACACCCTTAGACGATGAAACCCAGTGCTCACCTCTTTTGCGTCAACAAAAAGAGAAGTTATCAACCAGTTGCGTCCAACACCATCTTGCGAACAAGAAAGAGGAAGTTGCATGCTTGAAGAATGATACTCATGGAGATCTTCTACTTGGGAAACCCAATGAAATGCAAAACGAAATAAATGATCCCCAACACAACAAACTAAACAAAGAAATGAGAAACGCTAACGATGAGGATGAACAATATTGGGTAGACTTTGTCGATCAAGAATATCTGCGGATGCAAGCACCACAACTATTTCAACATCGCTATCCGTTGGAACTTCAGATTCCTGCTGAATCGAGAAAACGCGCTTCAGCTCTCCGCACAGCATTATACTCTTTGCGATCGTATTCAACTCACCAATATCATGGCGGTAGTAGTCATTTCCATGTGAATATCCACCCGGGAGGAGAACATATTGACGAAGGTGGACATATAACCAATCCTTTCAACAAGGTTCGCAGGGAATGGATCTATGTTTGGGAACAGTTCAAGCGCGACATCCATCGCGAAGTTCTGCTCATCGAGACGACAAACTATCGCGATCCCAAACAGGCGATGACGGCCATCATTAACTACCTGGAGCACTGTTACAACTGTGGTCAGGCTGTATATCAGAAGCGCAAGGCAGAAGAAGAAGCGGAAATGCTTGCGCGTGAGGCGCAGCGTAACGAAAAGGGGGAGCGATTTTTCAGCTTCCTGCTCAGAGAGGGTGCGGCGGTAATTAAGGAAACTGTTGAAAACGCGCAAAAGACGCTGTCGGACCTTCTGTCCGTCACGGGTGCGGATCTTGCGTCCCGGCGTCCCAACGTCGTCTACTCAGAGGATCCACTCATAAGGGCCGTGAAAATCTTCGACGCGGCTCGTGAAGTGATCCTGGCCTCGCAGCAATCCTTCATAGGCTTCCCCTACCAGCTTCTCTGCGAACAGCTTGGTACGGCACGGTTGCCTCTGGCTCTTGATGAATTTACGCAGGAGTGGGGGGTCAAGGAGGAGGAGGAAGAGGAAGGGTCGATCCCTTTCATGCCCCTGCCCGAGTCGGCTGGCTTGCCGTACCTGAACAGAGACGCAGAGCGGTTCGGTGATGCGAATGAACCCGCTTCGGAAGCGATTAGCACGACAGACGACTCACCCAGTAGAAAGAGCAGCGACAATGCATCCAATAAAAATGCACAGCAAAGGGAAATGCAAAGGCGGGATCGGGAGCTCCGGCGCCGCCAAATACGGGAGGAGCAGATGAAGCGACTTCCTCTTTTGGTAGGGGAACCTCGTCCGACTGAGTTCAAGGCTTTCCTGGGTCATGTACGGTCACGTGTTGCTTGCATGAAATTAAGAAACACTCGTTATGAAGAGCAAGATGGAAAAGGTAATAACGAAGTGTCAAACAGTGGAAGCGTCGTAGCCGACTCAGTCGCTAATGAGGATAATCTAAAGGAGCCTTGGTTCACGCATAATTTACAAGAAGGGAAAGACGATTCTAAGAGCAATTTGTTTAGGGAAGATATAGGAGGCTCTGTCTATCTTATTCCTATAGATCGTGACACAGATGTACAAAGCGACACCGTAGACGAGCCCAATGAAACTGAACCTAAAGAGTCTGTTGAACAAGGCGTGCGAATTCATTTGTACTTCCATAACTTACGTAATGTGCCAGTAGTATGCGTCACTAAACTCTTCCGTATCCTTACTGTACCAGGTTTTGAATCGTCAAATATGGCATCAAATGAATCCTACAAGGATGGAAACCAGATAAGTTTTGATTGTTCCCAATTTCATGAAGCTAAGGAAAGGAAACCAAACAGGAACGTATCTTGTAATGAACATCAAAATCCTGCATTGTCATCAGCTACACAATGTAAGCAGGAAAAAGGTGAAGAAAAGAGTTTGCTGATTCTGATTCAAGTACAATTCTCGCTTTTTACAGACGAAGAGGCGGAAGTTCGATGGAAATGGCACCATGTGTAGCTCCTTATACCACTGGAAAAAAAATATTTTCCAGAGGAAACGACGGATTTTTTTATTTTGCATATTTGTCATTTTAAAAAATGCTGTAAATGGTTCATGGTTTTTATACATTAGCCAAAGTCCTTCCTTCACAATTGAAAGGGTATATTGTATTATCTTGAGGCAAAAGCGATTGATTCATTTTTACTTTCCTTTTGTAGATTTTTCTCAGTTACAATAATAGGAAATATATTTAATATAAAGGTATACATTTTCGTCACAAACCAACAAAAATACGCAAAGCTTATCGATTCACATATGGAGTTGAATTCTAGCGACAAGGAACAAGAGGGGGAACGACAGTCTCACAAAAAGATCGAAATCACTTCTGAAGCAGAAGTATCCATACCACCGCCATCACGGCACTACTATTTGTTTCTTCGTATCCTAAAACGATCCCCGAGTTACCTCTTCATCTTAATTCATATATGTTACATTCAAGAACTGATAAAGGCACTTTACACTAATGTGCTGCTTCCGGTAGCAATTTCGGAACAACATCGACCTCTACTTACTATGGAAGCACTTTGCAACTACACCCGCGAGTTGATCCCAGAGCTGCTTGAGGAAGTCCTCTTTCCCCCAAAAGAAACACGCAGTTCGTGGAGCAAGTATTCGTTTATCTGGAGGTGGCAACAAGATCCTTTTTCAAATGTGTTCCTGGCTAAAAAAATTCTAATACGGCGACTATGGAGGAACCCTTCTACAATGCTTTTTCTTTTTGGCACAGTCTATATTTCAGCTATTCTTTTAATCATAATTCTGCGTCTGGTTTATTACAGCACTCGATCAGCCGTGCGTCGCATCAAGGTACTCCTTGGCCGCCCCACTCAAACAAAAGCCACTCCTGGCGTTTATACCATGTGCCGCTACGGCAACGGATACGACTCTATTTTAAGGTTGATTTTCGCCTTGGTGGAGCTTATATGGTTTCTGCGTTTCATTCAATACCCAAGGCTCTCTCTTGGAAATGAAAGTGACCAAGCGTCAGCCGTCACGGCTGCGTCGTCCCTACCATTGCCTATCTTCAATACCTTCCTACCGACACCTCTACAGAAAGAAGCACTTGTCACTGGGATTGAGTTTGTCCTAGCACTCATAGCATTGTTGGACATGCAGCGCATATTTCACGCATTGTTTGGAGTCCGCCCCCTCTTCCTCGCCAATGGCTGGGAAGGCTGCCCACTTTGTGGCGAAAGCTGGCGCGTGTCAAGGCGGACTGCCAACAAACTTCACATGTGCTCGCGTATATGGCTTCCTCCAGCGTCCACAGACTCTGACATAAAGGGGAATATTTCAACATTAAAGAAAAAAAGCCAGAGTCAGACGATAACGAGAAAAGGTTATGAGGACGCAAATGTCGTCGGCTCGGATAATCTGGTGCCCTTTGGTGGTGGTAGTGATACACACCACAGCCCTGTGCGGGACGTAGCGCGTCCCGGTGATAACTTTCCAGATCCTAACAACATCTCCTGGTTTTCCTTTCTCACCTACAACTGGCTCAACCCCCTCCTCAATGTGGCGGTGTTGTCACCCTTTGGAACTTTTGGCCCCCCTCCGACGGAGGCCTTCACCGATGGTGGAAGAAATCTATTTCAGGCACAACTAGCGGCAGTCGCGCGACTTCCAAGGCTACTGAATAAATGTCGAGCACAGGAAAATGGTGAATGTGCGTGGCGTTTGTGGTGTTCGCGATGGAGAACCGTTGCCGATAAAGAAACGACTCTGAAAGAATACAACATCGTTGGGTCGGTATTCCGCTATGTGACTAGACCAATTCGAACGGGACTCATGGCCGTCTTCCGGTACTTTTTTATCCCCCCATCGGCGTCAAAGTTAAGCAAAAAATCTTCAAAACTGTGTGCGTCTATTAACTCACGAAGCGCAACGGCGACCTCTTCTCGACAGACTAAAAAAAGTATTTTTGAGCTGTTTCTGGAACATCCTAACGGTCGCGAGTTTGTCTACAAATGTATACCACTGAAATTCGCTAATGATGTGATCGGTGGTCTTATACCATACATTGTGCGAGAGCTTGTACTCTTCCTGAAGGAAGTTAGTAGTCTTGGGAGCGTATCTACGTCCCCTAGAAAGGGAGCTCTGCAGGAATTGTTTCCTGATACTAGGGAAGCCCATCTCAGTCGGGGGCTTTTTTTATGCTTTCTGATGTTCATAATGATCTTTGCGCAAGGGTTTTTTTTTCAGACTTACTTATACTATCTTTATCAGTCCTCAGTAAATGTGACAAGCTCACTGAAGATGATATTGCTACGGCGTGCACTACGTTCTCGTATAGCTTTTGCAAGGTGTAAAAACATGGGTGAAGCAGAGACAGAAGAAACAGATGAGGAAGAAGAAGGAAAAGATCCACTTACAGCATCCACCGATGAAGCAATAATGCCTCAAAAAAACGGAAGAGGTGCGAAAAAGGAGTCAGAGACGGCATCAACAAGTAACGCGAATTTTACCTTATCTGGTAGTAAAAATCAGGAAGAGGGGAAATCAGGGGTACAACCTGTTATGGATGAAGGAGAAGTCATTTCTCTATCGACAATCGATGCAACAAATTGCGGTGAGACGCTCGTCTTTCTACATAATGTCTGGGGGCATCCCCTGATTATCCTCGTTTCTTTGGCTACCATGTACTCCTACGTGGGTTGTTTTCCAACTGTTACCACTTTCGCAGTGCTTATTGCCATGATTCCATTGAATCAGCCCACCTCAGTCCGCATTCGTCAAGCACAGGGACCCTCTAGGAAAAACAACAGGCGAATCAACGATCTTAGCAGCATGCTCTCATCCATGCGCGCGTTCAAAGCGGTGGCATTAGAAAATGTTATGTGGAAGCGCATAAAAGACGCACGTCGATGCGAAAGTGACGCCATAAAAACACTTCAAAGCGCTGAAAGAATGTCCACGCTGCAAATAGAACTCACAACGCTAATAATCTCATTGGTGTGTTGTGGAAGCTACCTCCTTGTCGGTGGAAAGATGGATGCAGCGGTTCTGGTTCCAACAATGGCTGTTCTTAACACCATGCGCTTCCCATTATGGACTTTTCCGAGGTTATGCTCTCAGGTCTCCCGAGGCTACACCTCCATGAAGCGAATTGAGCACTATATGCAGTCCGGCACTTCATCAGCGCGCCAGGTGCAGCAAGATGCATTTGAAGATTCTTTAGGATCGGTGTCAAACTTTTCAAACACCGTGACAAATAAAATGGGACTGGGCAACGAAGAGGAAAAGGTCTCTGTGACGCTGCCACGTGGTGCTGTGCGCTGCAATCAATGGAGCTTTGCGTGGTCAGCGAAGAGAAGATCGAATGCAATGATGGCGGCAAGGGGGAGTTATAACCTTAAGCTTCAGGCCCCTACAAGCAACCGATCGGGTAACGACAAAGACCTTGATCAGAGTCTTACCTGTAACTCGAATAAAGTGTCATCCTCTTTGCTTAAGGGAAGCCCTTTGTCGGTCTCGGCAGCGTCCGACTCTATTGTCCTCCATCAAGTCTCTATTGATATTACTCCTGGGGACTTCGTGGTGGTTCAGGGCCCGACTGGGTGCGGTAAAAGTGCGTTTCTGCTGTCTATTCTGAATGAGTTGTGTCCAATAGTGGAGCAACAGTGCAGTACGAGTAACAGCAATGTATGGAGCCCATTCTCGTTATTTTCTCCTGTGAAAGACTTTATTATAGCGAAAGAAGCCGATGAAGGGTGTCAAACGCAATCTTGTGGTAGTCAACTTCAGTGTGAAAACAGCTCTACATGCCCTACAATGAAGCAGGAAAATTTTCAACAGTGGTGTCATCAACGTCAGACGCATGGATTTGAAGTAGGCGGTCGTGTGGCGTATTGCGCGGAAATACCATGGCTCAGAAACCAGACTTTACGGGAAAATATTCGTTTGCTTCCAGATGATGCACCTGAGACTGAGGAGGAACGACAATGGTACCACCGTGTGCTGTACGCGTGTGCCCTAACGCGTGATTTGAAGTCGATGGAACTTGGTGATCGCACGGTGGTGGGAGATGGCGGTTCAAAACTGTCTGGTGGTCAAAGAGCACGCGTTGCTCTTGCACGTGCCGTATTTCGGCTCCATATCGTAGATATCTTCTTACTCGATGATGTCCTTTCTGCATTGGATGTAGAAGTGCAGAAACACATCATAGGACACGTTTTCCACGGCCTCATGAGCGAAGAAAGCTGCGAAGAAGTTGAGGTCGAGCTAAGCTCCCAGCTGTACAACATGGACAGTGACAATGTGAACAAGGAAAAAAGGGACAGTTGGGAAAAAGAAGATATTTGGACGATGCCGGTAATAAGGCCTTCAAATACTACACGACGACACAAAAAGACTATTATTCTCGCCAGTCATGTTCCTACTACTATGCTTATGCCTGATCGTGTCGTCCAAATTCATTCCGACGGCACGGTTCACGAGCTAAAAGACTTCCAACCATACACACAAAAACAGATTTGCTCGCAGCTGAAAAAATGGGAAAACTCAACCAATGAAACTCTGCACAAAGACACGCAAAATACGAATCCGGAGGAAAAAAATAAGTTGACGCAAGGTGAACAAACTCAGGATACAGAAAAAACAGCGTTCTACATTAATTCTACGAATTCTGTATCTAGAAACAAAATTCTATCCAATAAATGCTTCACTTTGTTTGGCGACTTCGAGAGTCTTAAAACTCTCCTGGTAAAATACACCGGTCCACGGCGCTTGGCTTTGGTACTGTTTCTCAGTTTAACAGGACAGTTATTCCATACCTTACTGGATAATTGGCTTGGCATCTGGCTCTCTCTTCATAGTGACGATGTGGACAATAGTTTCCGTGACAAAATGGTGCGGTTTGCAGGCTTCCCAATTAGATTTTTCAAGGGTCGTCATGTACCACATAGCGAACTTTTACGTCCAGGCAGCGGCGGTGGCCTGGTGCGGCCCTGGTCTACGCGCCTTCACCAATCCTCATCGCTGCCCTATATTGAGGGGTTGGGGTTGTCATTCTGTAATATGGTGGCTTCCCGCATGTTCATAAGCTTGAAATGCATCTGGTGGTGGTTATACTACTACTTTGTAGATTCACAGAATGCGGTTTTTCTTCAGTTTATCGCTTCATTTGCAGTGATTGGTATCCTTACTGCCTTGTTCTCCTTCCTATATATGCGTGTTTTCTTCATGACCTACCAATCCATCAGTGATACGCTGCAACTGCGCGCGGTACGGCGCATCTTGCGTGCACCTGTATCCTATTTTGACCGCATCTCCGTAAGTGGGCTACTGCATGTGCTGAGCCATGACCAAGAAGTTGTCGATCACAACCTTGGGGAATCGGTGCAACTAATTTTCTTCACCATTCTTCACTTTGTGTCGATGTTTGCATTTAACACATTCCAACACAACGTCTTTATCTCTGTCGTCCCTCTATCGGTCCTCTTATTTTACCACTTGACGCTTCGGTTTTTTCTTTTGACAAAGCAAGTCCGATCGCTGGAAAAAAAGCTGCATGGTAACTCTGTAAGCATTTTAAGGGAGTCTTTAAAGGGTGCTGTTACCATTCGCTCCTTGGGCCAGGCGTATGTTACTAGCATAGAGACTGAAATGACTGATGCACTGGATGCAATCCACACAGCCAATAACGTCGCTTATGCCGCTGATCGCTGGGTTGGGATCCGCCTTGAGTGGGTGTCAATTTTTATGACAATGACGATCGCTGTGCTTGCCGTGTGCAACTCATGCTTCGAACGGTATACAAGCCGCGATAAAATGGGTTTAGGTAAGGTCTCAGCAGCCTCCGCGTATGCAGGTCTTGGAATCACTTCTTGCATGACTAGCAGCCGTTCATTGATGCTTTTGTGCCGACGGATTGGCATGTTCCAGAATCAATATGTAAGTGCGGAGCAATTACTACGTATTGAATGCGATACTCATGAGGAAGTTGGGTGCTGTGATCTTGAGATTGACGAGATAAACACATCCAGGGGTCCTGATAGCATGAAGGAACACACTGCACGTTCAGGGTCTCCAACCGAGTCAGGTGTGTCTTGCTCGGCCGCGTCATTGGAAGCTGAAGATTGTAGTAACGCAAAGCCTTTGAAAGTCTCCGTAAGTGATCCAAAGATTGGGTCCCAACCAACAAGCGTACCATTGCTAGAGGTTCGCCATCTTTCAGCGAAGTATCAAACTGACTTGCCATGGGTCCTAAACGATGTGAGCTTCACTGTCCACCCTAACGAGTGTGTGGGGCTTATTGGACGAACAGGCAATGGAAAATCGTCAATCTTCAACGCCCTGTTGCAACTCATGGACGTGGTGTGCGGTGAAGTGCTGATCCAGGCGCCACTACAAGAAAAGGACAACCCAAATGTATGGAAAGCTGCTCAGGTGTCAAGAGAAGGGGAGGCTGCAGACAAAGAATTTTTGTGTCATGGCTCTGCTCAAGAAAGGCAGCAATATAGCTGTCAAATTTGCAATGCATTCAACATGCCTCCGATTTATCTTCGCAAATCCTTCTTCCATCTTGTTTCTCAAGAACCTCTGTTGATCCAGGGCACCTGCGGCACCAATCTGCTTCTTGGACTAGAGGAAGCCGTTGAGGGAGGGGACCATCAAGGAACGCGAGCGGCAGCAAAGGGTGCTGAGGGTATGGTCCAAAGAGACACCACGCTAACGCCGCAGCAACATACGGCGTTGTGGAATGAGCGTCTTCAAGACGTAATCAGAAAACTGTCCCTCGACGAGATTCGTGTCTCGTCTCCTACTGTTCCATATCTGGCAGTGTCCCCCACACAAAAACATAATGAAATGGACCCCACAGTATCCTTGAGAGAGACACCCACAAGATCCTCCTCTTCGGTATTGTCCATTCTGGAACACCCCATTACCACTGGTGGGACTAATTTGTCAGCGGGCCAACGACAGCTGCTGTGTCTGGCACGGGCGTTGCTACATCGCCCACGGATAATTTTGCTGGACGAAGTGAGCTCGCGTGTAGATCCTCGAGCAGATGCGTTGATTCAAAAAGTCATCAAAGAGGAGATGTTGGATCGCTACGACAACGAGCCCACTGAAGGTCATTGTCAACAGACATCAGTCTCAAGCAAGAATGACCTCAAATGTGAATCATGCGGTGTCCTCCTGATTGCTCACCGGTTAGAAACAATCATGTCGTTATGCGATCGGGTTCTAGTAATTGAAAAAGGTACGTGTGTGGCAAGTTTGTCCATTGAAGAAGTGAAGTGTCTGAAAGACTTGGAATCATACCTGTAGCTCAACAATGATGTGCCACTCTACTCCACACAAGCTGAAAATAGAAAGCTTACCAATGTGAAAGCAATGATTATATATGTATATACATAAATTATCAAGTTCGCATGGATTTGATTTTAAGGGCGCATTGGTAAACCTATCCTGCATCTATTAACATTTTTTCACGAAATTTTTTAACTAGTAAGTATAAGCTATTTGATTTTTGCATCGTGAATTCACACTTTATCGTAAAAATAGTTGTAATAATACTTCAGTGTAGCAAGCCTCATATGTCTTTAATTTTTTATTCCTATTGTTATCATGTATGTATATTTTGTATATACATACATTATAAATTTGGTTACACAACTCTGTTTGCTCTGGTAAACTGCAAAATGGAGTGATCAGCAATCTGAAGAAACCATGCAACCTGTAAGATAAGTAGCAGGTGTGGAAATGTGCATGAGTCGGATGATAGAGGATGTATCAAATTTCTTACACAATACTCTTTCTTTACTAATATTTGTAATTTATTATGGGTTTCACTACAAAGAAAATCCTCTTAAGCTTACTAAAAAGATAACTCGCGTATATACTTACTTTAAGTCATGTCGGCAAATCCCCTACCTAAACTTTACGTGTTCACCATCTGCCCTTTTTGCGAACGCGTTCTAATCGCAGCAGCTGAAAAGAAACTGAACATCGAAACGATCATTATCCCACGAGATAATATTCCAGACTGGTATGTGGCCCTTAATCCAAATAAAACTGTCCCGCTTCTTCAAGTCGATAACAAAGTTATGCTCGAATCAGAAGATATTTTAAAATATATTGATAACATTACAGAAGCAAATGGTGAACTTATGGGCAGCACACCATTTCAGAAACACCGTATTGAATTTTTCTTGAGTCAGATAAGTTATCTTACCTCAGCTATTCATGAGCTCCTTAAAGATCCATACAATGAAAATAAGCGAAAGTCTTTGGAGGAAAATGTCGTGTACCTGGAGAATATTATCAAGGAAACACAAGAAAAGGGTGGTGATTACTACTGCGACGACAAGTTCACCGCTGCCGACATCATGCTGTTACCGTTTCTAATCCACTTCAAAAGCGTTCTGTCTTACTACAGTGCCTTTGACATCTTTGAGAATGCGCCATGCATGAAAAAAATTTGGGCTGCTGGGCGGGAGCGCGCGTCTGTGAAGCCGATCATAGCGCCGCCAAATGCTTATATTGTCCACTATCAGCATATGTTGCCTCAAAACCACCATCTTGCGGGAGCTAATGGAAAGAAAGTGCTGTACAACAGCAAAATCTGCCCCTTTGCGAACCGCGTCCGGCTGGCATGTTTGCTGCGGACGGTCCCCATTGTTTGTGTGGAAATTGATTTGTCAAACATCCCATCATGGTACAGATACATCAACCCCCGCGAGACCGTACCGACACTTCTCACGGAGAATGGGCAATACATCCATGAATCGATGCTCATTGTTAACTACGTTGACAGAGTGGCTCCTGCAACCACTTCGACCCTTCCTCTTCTGCCCATTGGGGATGCGGACAAGGAGTACGCTGTCTCCCGCTTCACCGAAGTGGTAAATGAATTTACCCAGATATTTTACGCCCTCCATTCCGACCCCGGAAACTTGGAACTCAAGGAGCAGCTGGTGAATGTTTTTAAATTTCTTCACACGCAATTCGATAAAAAGATGTTTGGTTGTGGACCTTTCTTTGGAGGGAAAACAATGAATATATGTGACGTCGCATTTCTACCTTTCCTTGTGCGTTTGAAAGGAGCCACGCCCGACGTGACAAACGGCTATGATGCATTTAAAGAGTTCCCATTTTTGGAGGAGTATTTGAAAGCGTGTCTAAACACAGAAGCAAAAAATGTGTTCCTCACTATGCAGGAATACTTGGAACTTTACAAGGCGTACGTGCAGCGCTTGAAAAGTAAATAAGAAGTGTGAGTATCTTTGCTTTTGAAAGAAAATGCATTATGCGAGTAATTGAAATAGCTCGAGAAGAGTCAACTATTGTGTATTCAATTCTATTTTCATTGAAGTGTATAAATTTCACTCTTTTTTAAACAAGACCCCAAACATATCCAATTTCAACATTGTGACAATGTATTGATATTGTTTTTAATCAAATCATATCAAATATTATATGCAAATAAAACGATCATAATTAACTATTCCTGAAAACATAATAAAAAATATTTTTTTGCTATTTTGTAAGGAGGGAGCGTGGAGGCGATAGTGAAATACAAAAACTTAACTCGGTATAGCGGAAAGGAAAAGGATGGACACTGGAAGATTACAAGTGGCTTATCTCCGCACGCACACACACAGGGTTGTAGGTTTTGCACTTTGTACCTCACGACCTTGTACTACCCCAAAGGCCCCTGACTACCGTAGGCATACCTCAGCTGTAACAACCCCTATTATACCCACCGCTTCAGTTTTCGTGGAAAATTGTGCCTACTGAATCGTGCTCGCTTATTGTTTTCTGCATCTACATCACATGGAGCTCCATAAACTTCCACAGGATTGAGTATCCACGATGGCGTCATATGTGGCAGACGACCGCGAAACGTGTTTCTTCCCTTCACAAGCCTGCCTCCCGCGGATTTTTGCGTTTGCTGCCATATTTCTTCACATAGTCTTATGATACTGCTCAAAATGGTCAGTTGTTCATGTAATTCTGCATTCATAACCTTGAGTCGCTCTTCCCCACGGAGACAACCCCACGAAATCTTTTCAGTCGCTTTGATACTGCTGCATTCTGGTCTTACTTGCGAATCCGATGGCGTGCTACCGATGCCGGTTTCATTTGGCAGTCTTGGTATGCCATTGCCTTTTTCATTGATCGCGACAGATAGTTGAAAGGCGACGTCCTGCACCTCAGGCAGCAAAACATTTTTTAAAAATCGAGCGCACTTTACACAAATATCGTCGTTGTGCTCTTTTTCCTCAATATCTATGTGGGATTCTGGGGATCTCTTCAACGAACGATGCAAAATCGCTCGATTCAACAATAGAAGTACACACTCCATTAGAGGCAGGGGAATTCTGTCAATAAACCCCTCCTCCATGAGAGACGAATCACAATTAGTCACTACTGCTGGTGATTCAGACTTTTCTACCTTTGGCATTAGTACAGAAACAAGCTGGTTCACCGTGTCATTCGGAAGCTCAGAGTTTAGCACAGCGGTCAAACTTAGTTGCGTCAAATCCCGCGCCAGGTTAAGCACAGTGATTTCGTATTCCTGCTCTTGATGAAGAAAGACACTTGTAGCGGATTCGTACTGCCGATATAGGTCCCCAAGGGCCTCATAGAGAAATGGGAGGGGCACGCGTTGTGGGATACCGTCTCGGTGTGCCGGTGTCTGCAAGGATGGTTCGCCTTGGCCACAGACCTCTCCAAGCTCAATCAAAGGTCTCACAACCTCTGCTCGATACCTTTCCATCTCCCCTAGTGTCTTGGGTAAGCCTCGCTGAACTAACGCATCGCACAAACGATTAATCTTCACCATCCCATATGCCTTGTAGTGTTGTTGTAAAATTCTTTTGACGCAGTCCCTTGCTAAAGCAGCAGTGATACCGGGTTCTGTGATACTGTCTCCCCCTTCCGCTATAGCTATTGCACTGATTGAGGAATCTGATGTCTCCAAAAGCGCCTCTTCAAATCCACGCCAGAGGGGTTCTGTTGCAGAGGGATTTTGAATGATAGCCAAACACGTATCCCGTGATCGCGGTAACCAACGAATTAACTCGTGCGCAACATGTGTGAGGAGTGAAGGTGGTAATGCCAAAAGGCTGCTTTGGGCTACGCGAGTCAGCTGTTTGGTTGAATAATCTTGTTCATGGCTTAGAATAATATGGTTTATCAAAATATCACATACTGCCTTGCCCCGTCTGGTCATCATGGGTGAGAGTGGCGCAGAAACATGATCACCGTCAGTAACAGTGTTGGTGATCCATGTTGCTTCCAGCGCCATACATGGCAGGTACTTCAAGACAAAAGCACGCAAAGCCCATGAAAAATAAGTCGTAGGTGTAGCTGAAAGCGTTCCTTGTGGCACTTCTGCTTTCGGCACTGTGTTTACACTATCTGAAGAGTCAGCAGGAGATGGGGTCCATCCAGGTGAACTCAGCAGAGAACCTACCAGCTCAAAAATTAGGTCCCATTTTGACTCTGACATCGAGGTGGACTCAATGGCCAAGGCTTTGACAATGTGGCGCAACAACGGTTCTTGATCTGTGCCCGCTTTGTGTTGCTGTAGTACAAGGGGCGCATTGTCCAAGAGCAAGCATACGGCCCTCTCCCTGCTTGCAACATCCGAAGTGGAAGTGGGTTGAAGAAGCTGAAGAGCCGAGAGTATATCAGTGTCTTTAAACATTCGATATATAAATATAGCGTACGAAAGATGTTTTTACCGGTAACAAGCTTTGGGGGGGGGG